TATATATATATATATATAGTTATAAAGTAAGAAATGATCAGAGGCTATTATATGAGATTATAGCCACCCTTAAATGTGTCTAACAATCCGAGTATCACCTTCTTAAAGCCAATTGTGCCGGAGGGGATTCGAACCCCTGATTTGAGGGGTGTTATACCATAGATGCCAACCAACAAGCCCGGGTACGTGGCGCACACACACACCTTTTAAAGTTTTTTTTTGAAGTTAGAAAATTTATTTGTTAAAGTTATTTTAAAATTAAAATTTATTATATTTGAATCATTTTAGGTGAAAAATTTTGTATTTTTAAAAGTATTTGATCTTTGAGTAATTGGATGATCAACATTTACTTACATACTACATAATTCCTATATATTTACATATCTAACATTTGAAGTTTCACATTTATATGCATGCCGCTTAAATCTTTAACATTGCATCAATAATATCATTAATATTATTAACTTATAAAAAATGAAATACATATTATTATGCACAAACTTGATATTTTTCAACTAAAATATTCAACCAAGTAGTTGGAGAGCACATAAATCCACCATTTTTCATAACTTGAAATCCAAGATTAGAATATTTAGACTGTCAGTTTGACCTTTTATGAACGCGATGAAAAATATCAGAAAATGATAAGAGATGACGTTCGTTCGTAATGACCAGTGATTGGAGATAGTTGTCAGACCGCAATGGACGTCAGTAAAGATTAGAGGAAAACAAAGATGTCAATAGATCGCAGTTAGACAATAATGATCAGGTGACAACAATCAGACAGTATTTGTGGGAAACAACAGTTGTTAGTGGTGATTATTGGTAATATTTACCCTCTTAAATTCTTAATCACTCTAATTTGTAAAATTGATGACTATTTATACATCTTCATGCAATCGTGCTCCTATTTATTGATTGGGCTCATTTGGACTTGGATTGAAACACTTGAAATATCATTAAAATTATTTTATAAGTTTGATTATAAAGATAATTAAGGGTGCATTTGGGGCAGCTTGTGCGTTTAAGGATAAGCAGTTTATCCTTAAACGCAGCTTACGGGTCGACCGCGTGGTTCGATCTGCTATCTGCGTTTAGTGTAAAAATCCAACCGCGTTTTTAGTTAAGCGGACAAAATGTGCGGTCCAAACGGTACTGCAACGTTTTCAAAAACGTCCCAACACACTGCTCTAAACGGGCCTTAAGTCAAAGTTTTGCTAAATTTATGAGTTTCACGGTCAAACTATTGTGAATAGATTACATACATAGCGCCCATTTTTTATGGATTTACCTATCCAAAGTTTCATTTTTACACACAACACTTTACATATGGATGTGAAGATGGATTTGAATATTAAAATGAAATAATGAGTGCTACTTTTCATATGATATCTGTAATTATGAAGGTTTGGTGTGAGATAAATAAATATGAAAGTTTTGTGTGATATTTATGTAAAAGCCCCAAATGAAAAGTATGGGCTTGCTTATAATATTAGGCGCCTCATGGGAAGAGTTATAGGGTTGTACTTCAGTATGAACAAAAGAAATTCCTTATATTACGATTCTATTCTATGGGTATCCCCTCGAATTAGATTTTAGAAATATTTACGGCTATGCCACTCAATTTTTATGTATTTACATATCTAATATTTCACTTTTGCATGAAAAGATATATTAATTTTTTTATGTTAAAAAAATGACAATTTTGATAAAATGTCAAAGATTTGGGTGGTATAAATATAAAAATAAAGTTAGATAATTTATATGTAATACATAAGCACATAAGAATTCTGTAATATACCGATATGTATGTAAATTTATAAAAATTAAGAGTCTGTTTGGGGCGGCGATGAGGCGACATTGTAACACCACACCGTACATTTTGACAGTTTTTTTAAATATCACCGGTCTCGACTAGGTGTGGTGACAATTTTCTAACTTCGATATGATTTTTTTTAAAAAAAAAAAAAATAATCACCATTACTTTTTAAACATTAAATTATTTTTCAACAGTTTCACAACTACTTTCCATTAAGTTGCAGCTGCCTTTAAACAGACTTAAATGAGTTTTCTTGTGACTTGTTTATTACAAATTTAACTTTCTAAATATCTTAATTAGAATTAAAACAATTTAACAAAAATTGTTATAATATTGAAGTTATATTAAGCATTAAATATATGATACATTATGTAAAACAAACCATTAAACATCATTGCCGCATAATTCAGCCGCGTTCACAGCCGTCGCCATCTCTTTCGTCGAAAGAGACCACGAGAAAGCGGAGATCGGACCCCGCACCATCACGAGATCTGCTCAGCTTCCCGCCCGAATACGCCACACCGCGCATCTGTACCTAACGTGCGCACCACCTCACCTTCTGTTTTTTTTACAAAAGGAGCAATTTGCATGCACACCCCTTTATTCTTATATATTTACGTATCCTCGTTCCGTAATTTTATTTTCTTACATTTATACCATGTATATTCTTCATATCATATCCAAAATACCATCATTTAGATCTAGAACATTGATATTTACTAATTAACTCCGCAGAATTTACACGTGTCACGATCAAACTATTGAAATTTGATAAAAGTGAATAATATGGGTTTGGTTTTTCGATAAATTTTGATATTTGAATGAAATTTTTAAAAGATGGATGAAAAATAACATTCGATTTTAACGGGAATTTACGTACATAGCACCTAATTCTAATGCATTTATATGTCTCGCATCCAAACTCCGATTTCTTTACTTCCAAAGTATTTTTTCTTTTGTATGAAAAGGTGGATTACAAAAAGATAGCTTTTCATACATAAATAAGATATGCTTTAGCCATAAAAATCAGAAGTAGGGTGTTACATGTAAATATGCAAGATATTGGGCGCTTGTATGTAAATTACCCTAATTTTTAATTTTGCCCCTTAAATTGAATAGTTAGTGGCATATGTAAATATTTTGAAGCATTCATACCTAAACACATAGGAATATTGTGGTATATAAGTAAATCATTCTTTAAAACCCAAACTAATTTAAATATTTATTTATTTTTTCTTAAAATTTACTTAATATCACATTAATCTTTTATGTGTTCATAAATTTAAGGTATGTTTGGGGCGGCTGCAGCTTATTGAATAATCTGCGTATAAGTTAGGTGCGGTGGCGATTAGAAATTTTTAATTTTTTTGAAAAGGTCAGAACGTTACCAAAAAAACTATCACTGCACCTACATAAGTGCTGTGTGAAAACACTGTTTTTTAGCATTTTCAAAATACATAAGCTGTCAAAACTCAGCTTACCCAAACAGTTTAGCTGCGTTTTCAAAACACAACCGTACCAAATAAACTGTCCCAAATAGTTACTTATAAAAAGTTGAATATGAATGTTTTTATTATTTTTTTATAGCAATGTTTCTAGAATATAAAAAAGTGATTGTTTTATAAATAATAATGTTTTGAATGAGTTATATGCTAATGTCTCAATATTAAAATCTTAAATATTATTATTTTTTAATTAAAATAATTAAATAAGAGATAACAGATAAATAAAAATTACAAGTTATGTACGTAATTGCCCCCTTTTTTTAAAATTTATTTCAGCTGGGCACCACCACTTCCACTGACTGATCTTCCAGTTTTTACTTCTTTCCCTCTCTTTTCCCGTTCCTCCGTTCTTTGTGGTTTCCTCCAACGCAAAACCCTAATCCTAATCCTGATTTAGTTTTTCTTCTGCTGCTGCGACAATGGGAGCGATCGGAGATGGGTGTCATAATTGGGACTAAGGAGATCGCCGGGGATGGGGAAAATCGAGGAGGAGCAGGCGTTCCACGCGGTACCTGCATCACCGGAGCCAGCACTGGAAAATGCTGCTCGTAGATGTCCGCCATGCCGTTCGGTCGGTAGGATCGTGAACCTTAGATGCATCGCGGCGCTGCTACTGGGTGTTGCTGTGCTGCTGTCGGGGATTTTATGGCTGCCTCCGTTTTTCCGGCGTGGCTCCGGAGCTGAGGGCGTCAATCGTGAGCCGCAGTATGGAGGTGAGGTTCTCTGGGGGTGTTTTTTTTTTTTTTTTCTTGTGCTTTGTCTCACTTGCTTAGAGATTGGAGTGCATATGGTGGCTGCATTTTGGCGCGTTCTTGAATCTTGTTGTGGGAGTCCATTTAGTTTCAGTCTTGTCCGTCGTAATTGTGCTTTGTTGTAAGGGTGACGATTGCTACAGCCTACTGCAAAGATGGATGGGTTTTTTGAATAATTTATACTATGCTCTATGAATTTCATTCCAGTTATATCTGTAAAATTCCTGCAAATTTGTTTCCTTGGTTGATTTATGATTTTGAATTGGTGTGGGAGGCTTTTCCTATAAGTACTCTACCACAAAGTTCTAGCCTCTATTCATACAATTCTCTGATTCCGCTTTTATAAATAATTTTCATGTGTCACGTTCCCATGTGTGCTTCCACAGATCTAGTCTCATGTATCATCTTCTCATTATATTGATATTTTGAATTAGTTTTTTAGCATGGAAGATGTATCGGATTTACTTATGGATTGACCATCAATGAGCAACACAAAAATGCAAGCTGGTGGTCAAGGGCCATGCTAGTATATTAAGAATCCAATTCTTAATTTTCTTTTGATCTCGATAATTTTTTCCGTTCTTGTATGTACCTTAACCCATCTCTCATGAAAGCTCTCTGGATCAACTTGATCTCAACTAAGCTCGATTCCAATTGTTAGTAGGGAAGGACACTTGGTCCTAGGGCTATAAACGAGCCGAGTATTTCATGGATTGGACTTGTCTTGGCCAAGTCATAAGTTTTTCATGTTTAGTTTGAGCTTGAGTCAAGCTTTCACATAGGTGTTCATACATAGCTTTCTTAAACATTTTAATATTCATATTTGATTTGTGCTTGACCTATCTATATTAATTGAATAAGTTAAAAATTCAAATGGGTACATAATGTTTTATATTAAATTAAAAGTTTAATTTATACTTGAATTTTCATTTAAAGCTAATAAATACGCTAAAAATTTAAATGAGTGCATGATTTGCTGTATAAAACTATTGATAAATAATTTTACAAATCTAAATAAATAAACAATTAAATAAATTTCAAATTAACATATAATTAATTTATACCAAATAAATAAAATAATATATAAGTTTTATTTGACTTTTTGCAATCAAATAATAGAAGTACTAATAAACTTGTTAATTGAAATAAAAATAAGAAGAAATCGCTTTAAATTTATAGGCATGTTGGTTTTAAATTATAATTTATAAGTATCAAATATATAATTAAATAAGTCATATTTAATTAAATTTTATTTAAATAATCTATCATATAAGTATAAAACATTTAACAAGTTACTTTAAATATGAGTATTACAAAAATATTCATACATGTTTTTTTAATTAATTTGAACAATGATTGAGAGTTAATAGAGTCGTGATTGAGTTGTTCATCAATGCAAAATCTTCAACCAATAGATAAGGACCAATTGTAGCATATTGTGAATCCAAGTCTTGCATCCACTCTTGAGGTGGGACCACCATTCTGATATGCACTTTAAAATAAAGATTGATGATGAGCACATCTAAAGGTTCACTTGATGGTTTTTGGTAGATTCTTATGAGTTTGAGCCATAGTTCATTTTCTTAAATTAGAAATGATTTGGATATCTTAGAATCCAAGGTTTTATAATTGCGTATTTAGGATGGAATTCATGAATTCAAACATACAAAGGGGCCATGTCGAGCTTGTTGTACTTATGGAATGAACGATATGCGATCAACCCAAAAATGTAACATTCCAATTCTTAATTCACTTTTGAGGTTTGACTACTTTTTTCTTTCTTTATGTACCTTATTCCCTCTCTTATGAAAGCTCTCTGGATCAATTGGTCTCAACCACGATCAACTTGGTCTCAACTAAGGTTGATCCACTTATTAGTACGGATGAACACTATGGCCTAAAGCTTAGCTTAATATTATTGTGGGTGGACATTCGTTAATGCAAAATCTTCAGCCAATAGATAAGAGTCAATGTTAGCATTTTCTGAATCATCTCTCTTGAGTTGGGAATAGCTTTCCAATCTTTCCTATGCATTTAATATGGCTCACATAATTGAAGATGAATGCATACTTAATGTGCTTGATGGTTTTTTGCGGATCCTTATGAGTTTGAACTGTGGTTCCTTTTCTGAATTTATAAATGATTTTAGGGTTATAATTAGGACAAATTTGTCTTATGATGAAAATATTAAAATTTGTAAAATTCTTCCTGGACGACAATTTCTTAATCTCAAAAAAATAATTTTTGAAAGTTTTGGTGCATTAATAAAGTAATGTTAGGAGAGATCATATTTGAAGTATCTCTTATTAGAGTGATATTGACGTGAAAGTTTTTCCCACATAGTTTTCTCTCAATACTGTAGCTGATAAACTCATTTTTGTCACGACTCGGCCCTGGACTTGGAGTTAATCAAGGCGGGAATAGATTGTCAAACAGTGTGAAATAAATTTTCTATGTTAACTTTCAGTTTGATAGATGAAAGAACCAGTACAAATTAAATTAAAGCTGTACAATTAAATTTATCTTATTGATAGTTATCCATGCCTTTTATAAATTTTTTTTAGTCTATCGCCCATCCTTTAATAATTTTATTAAATCTGAAAAGGCAGTTAAAACAACTGTGAGCTAAACAAGCCAGTGAATACTCATACTCATAAATTTTAGTAATACAATGGTGAAAAAAATAATATGCATGTCAGTTAAACTGTTTAAATAAATCAATATAAACATTTTATGCTATTCAAAAGAGTCTTACTTTACCAATAACTTATTAATATCATTTCGTGTTTATACAACCGTCACCGGAGATATCATCTAGAAATTGTGTCAATTAAGACACATCAATATTATTTTTTTTTATTTGAGTGCACGGACACATTAGTGTTCCCACACTATTACTATCATGGTGTGTTTCATCATAGCTAGTCATGTACATACAAGCAAACAACATAAACATACATGTTCATCACATTCAATCATACTACATAAAACATACATTAAAATACACGAGTAAATAACTACAACATTTGTAATAATATGACCGATAAAAAAAAAAGAATAGCTCAATCAGAATAAAATACTCACAAATATCATCAACTGCAAGCATATTTGAGAAAAAATAAATTATTATTATAGTTTAAAAGTGCTTACCTCGATGTCCATTAATCTAAAATTAAATGCCTAAAATAAGTATGGTATTCATATTAAATTTTAATTTATTTATTATCTTATTGCAAATTTAATAAGTTTTTTTTATTATCACTTTTTTCTTTTAATCAATAATATATATGTACATATATTAATAATAATAATAATAATATTATTATTATTATTATTACTACTACTACTTATTAGCTTTAAACAATAAGATTGAATTTAATTAAATATAATGTTGTTGTAATAAATAGTAATAACTCAAATTATTAAGTATGCTACCTTATTCTCTTCTCTTGTGCCCTAGATCACTTGAATCGAGCAGCAAGGCTCGGTCGAGCCTTTACTTTACACAAGAAAGCTGGTTCCAAGCACCTACTGCCGCGAGAGCCCTCCCTTCCCTCCTTCCTGCTCATGAGTGACCCAAATTGAGAGCCTAGTCTCCTGCATGAACTCAACCCTGCTCTTCTTCCTCTTCCTCTGCACGAGAACCTCGTCGATTCCTCCTTTAAGCTCGATAGTCGTCGTCGTCAGACAACAACGCCACCCCTCTTCTACTCCTTTGTCGGTTCGTACGTCAGGATCGAGTGTGTAGGAAATCCCACATTTGCTGCCTCTGCATGACAACGATGTCGCCTTTTTCCTACCCTCGTGTCGCCTTTCTCTCCTTCGCATGTCGTTGAACCTATGTGTAAGTCGATTTATATAGGCGAAATCCCCTCCTAAACTTCCGACCTCTCGTTTCCTATCGCTCTGTTTGGCTGCCTCGACTCTTCAATTTGTCTTTCTTGCCTTTTCATTTCCTCTTCCATTTGTCTTTTCATCTTCAATACTTCCTTTCGTCTCCCCCGAACTGAAATGATTCGTCACAATCTTCTTCATTTATAAAAAATTCATCCTCAAAATTTAAAACAACGGATCACACGTCACAAATAATTTTACATTTTTTATTGAACTCCCTTCTTCTATAATTTCGGTTGTATCACTATACCTGAACATATAATAATTTTTATTTTCAGTTAATTTTAGTTTTCATAATTATTAAAACTTTTTTATAATCTTTGGGCTATTTCATCAATATTCAATTAATTAATCCTAAATCTTATGCTTTGATGCCACTTTTCTCACAACCTGGCCTGGGGCTTGAAGTTCACCAAGGCTAGAACAGAAGGTCGGACGGTATTAAATAAATTTTCTATATTAAAATTTATAATGAAAGAGCCACTATAAATCAAATTAAATTGTTACAATTAAAATTTACCTTGTTGATAGTTGTCCACATTTTCTATAAATATTTTCTCGACTATCACTTATCTTTTAATAATTCAATTAAATTTAAAAAGTTAGTTAAAATCACTGTGAGCTAAACGAGCCAGTGAATATTCATACTCATAATTTGCAGTAATAAAGGGGAAAAAAAAATAAAATGCATGTTAATTAAACTGTCTAAATAATTCAATATAAACATTTAATATTATTCAAAAGAGTCTTGTTTTATCAATAACATATCAATATCATTTCGTATTTATACAATCGTTATTGAAGGCACTGTCCAAAAATTATGTCAAGACATATCAATGTCAATATATTTTTCCATTTACGTGTGCGGGTACATTAGTATTCCCCCAATAATACCATCAATGTGTGATTCATCATAACCAGTCATGCACATACAAACAGCCAACATAAATATGTGTTAATCACATTCAATCATACTATATAAAACATACACTAAAATGCATGAATAAATAACTACAACATTTGCAATGATATGATCAATAAAGAAAAGAATAACTCAATCAGAATAA